TTTTTTTTGACCCTCATATCCATTAAGAGTTCTTGTTTCGTCATAATGTATTTATAATAAAATCATTTGTTCTATGTTTCATGAGCAACCCACAGAGATATACAGTATTATTATCAAGAAGTACTATTTTTTAACTACTAATATATTGAAAGTACTCTTCAATTGAATACTTAAACTAAAAAAATATCCCAAATACTTCCCATCTAAAGCTAAGTACTCACAAATAATTACGGTACAATTTTTAAATATATTCACATATCAGTTTTTTAATCCAAAATAAAAGTTGTCACATAAAATACAATTTACCGATTAACTGTATGATTTCTTGATAAAACAGTTATTTCAGCAAATATTTATGTCAAGGAGTATTGTGATTCACTTGAAAGTGTATCTTTTGTTACAATAAAATTTATGTTTGGCTGGCTATGTACATATTATTAGAAACTTTATTTTCTTTTTTATATTCACATTGTAACGTTTATAATTTATGAAAAACATATAGAATAAGTTAAGACTTATCAAAAGTCATAGTGAGCAAAGCTTTTACGATGTATTATATATGCATATTATCTAACTACCAGTTCGTCAGTAACGTTACAATTAATCACAATCGAAAAAGATATTTATCTTTGTTTATTCTTTCACCTTAACTATGTCTTTCGTAAGTGTTCAATGACCGATTTACTTTAACATTAATGTAATAGCACCATGAATTTTTTTTCTTATCTATTTATGATCCAAACAATTAAACAAATATTAAGATCATATATTAAACAGTATAATTAAATGTGTATGCATAGAAAAACAAACAATTTTAAAGCTAAAACAATTAACATAAATTTTTATTGAGATTGTGATATTTCTAGATATACATGTACCTTCTGTAATAATGATTCAACTGTTTTGTTTTGTATATAAGGTAGTGGAAAACTCCAATTAAACCACCGAAAACTATCTTGAGAGTGTGGCTGTCATGGTGGATGTAAACCTTTTTTACTCATATCCATACCCTTCTTTATTTGCAAACAAGATGTGTACGAAGTGAGGATAATATAATTCCACTATTATAGTAAAGAGAAAGAGTGACGATAGTACGACAGGATAATCAATCTGACTCCAGTTCATTAAGTGAACGATGAAGAAGAAACACTTTGTAGCATCCTTACATACGATCGAAGAATAGAGTAACACTTTCGACACTTTTTCTTTCGAGATTGCGTAATATAATCGATTATTATTTTAAAAATTGTATGGAAATAGTTCTCAAATTATCATGTTCTCATACCCAAACTGATTCTCTTAAAAATCCTTTATTTTCCAGAATCATAAAGACTCAAAATTTATTACTTGCTTTAGATTAAATATACTAATTATATGAGTACCGAAAAAATATTTTCTCATTTTATTTCAAACGTAGATAAAAACGTTAATGGAAGAAAAGAAATGTTTAGTTATGTTAACCTGAATTTATTCTTATCTGAAGGAAGTAGACAAACACCAAGGTAAAAAAATGTGAAGATAACATATGTGTATTTGTCACTAGTGAACAAAAAGAAACGATGAAGATTGAGTGTTTTCTGAGTCAGAATATCATGTAAAAAATGGCGGAATTCGTAATTTTGTAGCAGATAAAAATATTTTTCTTTATACCAAAAGAATAGAAGTACGTTTTTTTTTGCAACACTCAGAAGAAAATGGTAATAGAAATGTTCTTAGTCATTAGAAACACATCTCAGTAGAAGGATTTATCATCATTTTTCCCCAATACGCTCATGCACTGTAATATATGGCAATCGAATAAAGTTCTCTGATAAAGAAAACTGATGTTTTAACGAAATATTTATTTTATCCTCAATTCTATGCTTCGAAGTCATTGAAATTACTTTAATGAGTGATTGTTTAAAGAATAGAAAAACAGTTTTTCATTATTAACTGTTCATTTGTCGAGGAAAGTTAAATCCTTGTTTAAACACATCATCGTTAATATATTTAATTTCATTTAGTGAATTTTAGATAAAATACTCTTCTAGATTAATACGCACTTTTTTAGATTGATTGTCCAAATCGGTCAGAACCCAATATTCCGAGGAGATTTGTACCAAACTAGAGAGAATTTATCTAGTTAGCATTGTAACGCGTTTTTATCTTTCTTGTAATTATTTATAGTATACGTTTTGTCTTGTCATATAGTTTCATCTCATGTGTGAACTACTTATTCACTTGTCTTTACTGATTTTTCATTGTTCCAAATATGTGTTTTCGTTTACTTTCTTTATTTTCTAAAGGTGACAAGTTCATCTCAATCTCAATATTAAAAAATTTAACACCATATCACTTATTCAATTCTCAAATTGACTATTTTTCTTGTTGGAACGATCCATAAAAATAAAAAAAATGAAATACAATTGTATTGAACAGAATTTAAGCGTTGAATATTTTATATAAATTACTAGGGTACACAAAAACTATATAGGAGTACTCATGAAATATGATATGTATAATTTATCAATGAAAATGTACTAATAAATAAATGCATTTTGACCAATACAAAAAAATTAAATAACAATAATTTAACCGAAGTATCAATAAACATAATCAATATTCTTGGATTTAATTATATTCAAGTAACTATAAAAGTGGACATATTTGTGGAGTTAGTCAATAAGCGATTTAAAAATTCAAAGTTGTAAACGAATAAATGAGATATGCATTCTTTATGTCCATCACATGTGTGTCATATGGTATTTTTCCTTTTCTTACTCTTCGGTTTATTTCTTACACGTATTGATCGGTGTTGATTCCAAGTGAAAAAGAAACACATGACATTATTTTTTCCCCTCTCATTTATATAAATCTCACTAAACATACAACAGGGCTTGCGAGACGCCTAAAGTAATGCAAACCTCCACGTGCAGCTAAAGATGAAAAATAGGTGAAAAAAAGAAAACGTGATCGTCCTCAAAAGGTCACTTAAGCTTTAATAATAAAATAATTCTAGTTATTTGTGCTTCATTATTTAACAATTAAATGCATGCCATGAAATATCATATTCAGATCTTAGTACAAATACTACTGATAAGTTCTCAAAATCTATGAGTACTTTCATTAATGTGAAACACACATGATATTGATATTTATGCTTGAAATAGATTTTTATGTTCTTAAAAATATCAACTGCGTATGTGATATCATAGCAGTTAGTAATTCTATTTGATCGGAAGAAACAAGAAAAAATATTCTCAGAAATATTTTCGCAAACAAACATGATATACGTAGAAATGACGCATTCGATATCTACCACATGTTTCAGTTAATTAAAAATCAGGTAGTCTTCTATATTCTTTCTTTCTAAATAAGTATTTGAATAGTTGCATTTTTCTGTAATGATAAAAAAAAAGTAGAAGATATTGTTAACGATTTCTTGTAAGGTAAGTACGACCATTACGAGAACGAAGAGTAGATAATAACGTTTTTTGTTATGAGCCTTTTCAAGTGATTATTATGAATTTTCAAATGATATTTTTTATTATACTATTCGATATGGTAATGACAGAATTGGGCATGTCATTATTCTATAACACTAATCACATTTCTAAAACGAATTTCGATTGTTTTTATGCTCATATGATTGATGATTTTCATTACTATAATGGAACTTTTCTTCGTACAAATAATTTGACTCCATATTGTCTACGTCCATTATTGAATGATTCTATTGATGAAAATTTAACGCTGATTGTTGGATCGATAGAAAACACAATTACGTTTAAAAGTTTACGTTCTCAACGAATTCGTAGTGAAGAATTACTTGAATGGTCTATATCAATTGATGTAATTGAAGCATATGCTACATATCTTATTAAAAATGATACGAAATTTGACGAATATGTCTTCTACAATTGTTCCTTATCATGGTTTGGTTCTCGTTGTCAATATACATTTGATTTGAATATTTCAATTCAATCATTTGGAGATTTTCTAGTTAGTTCATTTCATAATCGAGAAAAATTTGAATACCAATTAATAATAAATACTTGTTATCGACATTTACCTGAATGTTATCGTGGTCCTTCGCCAATGTGTTTAGATTGGCGTGAAATATGTAATGGAATAATTGATTGTATTGGAGTTGGAGATAGTTTTGGGATAGATGAAGATTATTGTGAAGAACTTGAAATGAATGAATGTAACGAAGATGAATATCGATGTCAAAATGGAGCACAATGTATTCCGTTAGAATTTTTTCGAGATGGCTGGACTAGTAAAGATTGTCTAGATGGAACAGATGAAGAGGAAGTTCCTGAAAGAACGCTACTGATTAATGATAATATTAATAAATTAAATTGCATAGGAAATGTAACATTTTTTTGTGAAGAACGTAGTTGCCGTAATTGGGAATCATTTCCATGTGGTGATGGGCAATGTCGTTCTTATGGGCTCAGGGATATTTATAATCACCCGAAAGGACTTTTGTGTCCAGGTACAAGTCGGGATGACTATTATCTTCGATCAATTTATATGACAGTCAGACAACTGCCGAAAGATTGCTATAAATTACTATCGTACAAACTAAGATTGGATTTATCTCAGAAAAACATCACATTCGACGAAGAAAACTGGTCACTTGATGAGTTAATATCAACAAATAATTGCTCATTAGAATACATACCGTTTCCTGCCAAGCCTGTCTTCAATGGTTTTTTCCAGGTTATCTATTCATTGAAAAATTTGATCGAAAATTTGTTCAATAATGCTTCACCTGATTATGTTTGCAATGATCCACGACAATGTCTACATCTACCAGAAGCAACAATTCAAATAGGAGATTTAGATTGTCGTTCATTTGAAAATATGACTGGGGCCTCTCGTGTTTTAAACCTATTATATTTACATTCTGAACTTGGACCACTCGCCGATGCTTGTTCGACAACGGGCAATATAAATAAATATCCATCGAATTCATCGTTATTTTTCTGTGAATTATCTAAACGGTACATTTCTAAACATCGTCTTGTCGATGGTATCGATGATTGTAAATATGGAGAAGATGAAGAATATCCATATAGTTGTTTATTAAATGATTCTCAACGTCATTCATGTCCATCGGAAGATAAATGTTTATCACCTTTAAGTCTTGGTTACGCTTTACCTGACTGCATAGATGACGATGATTCAAGTATTTATCGGCGACGAAAATTTGTATTTACACACTTATGTAATTTAGTTCCTGATAGTTACTATGAAGAGGAAAATGATGAAACTGATGAAACTAATTGTGAATGGTGGCCATGTTATACTCCATACACACGATGTGATGAACTTTATCATTGTACCAATGTCATTGACGAAACGGGTTGTCCTGCTTTCGGTTGTGCCGCGAATGAATTAAAGTGTAATATTGAAAATCCTGTTGGCCATCGATGTATTTCTCACGATTATATCTACGAAAAAGCGATCGATTGCAGTGGTATACCTGTCCCTGATCGAAGATTATTTTATTCGAGCAATTTTACTAATGACAAGAATGAATATTTATCATGGAAGGCAATAACTTGTTTGACAGAGAACCATATTTGTGGTCATCAATCAATTAATAATCCTAATTTAGTGTGCAATCCATACATTGCACGGAAATTTAGTTTACATGCCGACTCATTAACGAATATCGATAATAATGAATCATTATGTACATTAAAAGGCGTTTTTTCTCCTCGGTTGTATATTCGTTACTTTTCTGCATGGAATCTTGGATATTTTCCATTAAGAATAAATTCTACATCATCATTGTCTCGTCAAAATATTAATGTGAAAAAAAGTTCGATGTACCCATTGAATAATAATATTAAATTAATCGAATATTGTAATCGTGGTTTTATTATATATGAAGGAAAATCCAATAAAAAGAAATGTTTATGTCCTCCAAGTTACTTTGGTTCGCAATGTCAATGGCAAAGTCAACGTATTAGTTTAACACTTAAAATACGTAAATTAATTTCAGTCGATAAAATTCATTTGGTTTATCAAATATTTATTTATTTAATTGATGATAAAAATCAAATAAAACATTATTATGAACGAATTAATTATATTCCATCACGAGATTGTCAAACTAAATTTAATCGTTATTTACTTTATCCAAATCGTCCTAAAAATAAGAATGAAAAGTATTCAATCCATATTGATATATATGATAAAATAACATTAGATTATTATGCTAGTTATTATTTAAATATTCCTTTTCAATTTTTACCAGTTAATCGTTTATCTACTAAATTAATAATTCCACCAGATAAATCTCAATTATCAACAAATTGTTCATTAGATTGTGGAACTCATGGGAAATGTTTTGATTATGTTAATATACCAAAATCATTTTGTCAATGTAATCAAGGATATTCAGGTCGTTTTTGTAATTTAACATATGAATGTTTATGTTCACCTGATTCAATCTGTTTAAATTCATCAATTTGTTTATGTCCATTCGATAAATTTGGTTCTCAATGTTATTTACAACATACATCTTGTCAACCTCATAATCCATGTCAAAATAATGGACAATGTATGCCTATTGATGATCGAATTAATGAAAAAGATTTTATATGTTTTTGTAGCGAAGGTTACATGGGATTAAATTGTCAATATAAATCAACTGAAATTAATATTCATTTTAAAACAAATATTATTCCATCAATGATATTTGTTCATTTGATAAATGCATTTGATAATAAACCACATGAACGTATAACAACATTTAAAAAAGTTCCGATTGATGAACAATCAGTGACATTATTTATTGAACAATCATTTAACATTTTATTTATTCAATTCCATAATAACTCGTATCTTACTGTTATAAGAGAGAAATTTGATCCACCTGAACATATTTTTACTGATGTCAAAAGCGAGAATATGTGTGTTAATGTGAACACATTTTTTAATGCAACAATACTTAATTATACTTATCTTCGTCGATTAAAATATTACCAATTTCCATGTCTTCAAAATTCCGAATTGAAATGTTTTTATGATGAAATACATATGTGTATTTGTGATCAAAATCGATATTCTAATTGTTTAGAATTTGATCATAATATTTCATATGATTGTCAAGGATATAATCCTTGTCAAAATGATGGTGAATGTTTTCAAGACAATGTTACATGTCCACAATCATCAATATGTATGTGTAAAAAATGTTATTATGGAAAGAAATGTCAATTTAATACAAAAGGTTTTGATATATCTCTTGATGCAATATTTGGATATCATATTAAACCATTTGTTTCATTTGTTAGTCAATCAAAATCAGTGAAAATAACTTTATCATTAACAATTATAATGCTTATACTTGGTTTTATTAATGGATTATTATCAATAATGACTTTCCGAAGAACAAAACCACTTGAAGTTGGTTGTGGAATTTATCTTTTAATAAATTCAATTGTTTCATTATTAACGATAAGTATTTTTACAATAAAATATTGTCAACTTATTCTTTTTCAAATGAATACTATAACACATCGTTCACTTATTTCTTTAAGTTGTTTATTAACTGATGTATCATTGAAAATCTTTCTTAGTTCAGGTGATTGGTTAAATGCATGTGTGGCTATTGAAAGAGCATTTAGTGTTATACAAGGAGTTCGTTTTAGGAAATCTCAAAGTAAATTAATAGCTAAATATGTTATAATAATTGTATTCTTATTAACATTTATTTCTTATATTCATGATCCAATATCGCGTCAATTATTAGATGAAGATGAAGAAAGAATATGGTGCATAGTTAAATATTCATCAAAATTAAAAATCTATGATAGATTTATCAATATATTTCATTTTTTAACACCATTTATAATTAATTTTTCATCTGCTATAATTATTATTATTCAAGTGTTTAGATCTCGTTCAAAAATTCAATCGAATTCAACACGTACAACTATTTTTGTTAACGAAGTCAAACGACACAAACATATATTGATTTCTCCATGCATTTTGATGGCATTAGCTGTTCCGCGTTTAATAATATCACTTCTATCGCAATGTATGGAAAGTGCTCGCAATCCATGGCTTTTTCTTGCTGGTTATTACGTTTCATTTGTTCCACCATTACTTATCTTTGTAGTATTTGTATTACCTTCAGAGATGTACAAAGACGAGTTTGTTGCTAGTATAAGAGAGAAATTTTAATCGGCGAATAAAAATGACATTTTTTTTCTGTTTATTATATAACGTTGCTTCTGTTGTTTTTTAGAAATTAATTATTCAGTGTTATCGTATTAATCTTTATGCTTTTTGTTGATAATCATTTAATATATGAGAATAAATCAGTGTCGCCAGATGTCAATATCCGGGAAATTCCGGAAGCTTTTTTTGTTAAATCCGGAAAGGTTTTTAACAGTTAATTTTTACCGACTAAAATAAATTTCTTTAATTCTTGTTTTCAATTATATCATTTATTATTTCAAAAAACACATGTTTCAACATACCAAAAGAAAATCAACATCAAAATTCAAAATATAATAAACTTAATATATAAGAAGTATAATCCACTGAGCCGCTGTCAAATAAAAAAGATTTTTTTTGAATATTAATAAATAAATAAAATTTAATTCAATAAAAATCATCTGAAATTCGGAACCCGGAAAGAATCTAGAAAAAGTGGGAGAATCCGGAAGATCTGGCAACACTAGAATAAATTTATATCACCATACTCAAGGGTGTAAATGTGTAGTAAAGAAGAAACAAAGCCACATCCACCTTCAAGATTGTGATACTTCTAAATATGCATGTACTTTATCTAATAATGAATCAATTGTTTTGTTTTGTATACGAGATGGTGGAGAACTCCAGTTTAACCAACGAAAACTACCATGCTCGCTCGGAATAACCTAGACGAAAACTTGCTGTGTTGAATTATATATATAGAAACAAATTATATCTAACTTTTGTTGAATCTGATTTCAATCTTGCTAGAAATATAACGAGTGTTTTCTTGACTACTTCACCGCCAAAACGTTTATATTTAGGATAGTAAGTCTAAAATATATTATACAATAAAATCTAGACATATTTAAAATTATAAGAATGGTATAATCAATTACGTCTTCAAAACGAAAATCAGGATCGATATCAATAGCCGATGATTGAATTCCTGTTTCTTCCTGTAATTCTAAAGTTAAAGTATAAAGAGTTTATGAATATATGTATGAATGTATTTACATACCTCGTAAAGCTGTTTCACGTTCAGTTTCTCCAATTTCCATGTGTCCTTTTGGTAAATCATAACGATCACGATGTCTCATCAACAAAAAACTTTGATCAGCTTTCATTAAGAGAAATCCACATGATTTTACTTGTCGTAAACTATCATCGTGTGTATTTTCTGCCATTTATAAAATTCGATCTACAATCACGATACCAATATGTGAGTACGATATGTATCTATAATAACATCGCTAGTCATTATATACAAAATCAACATTATTCATACATTCTCTTGAGCAAGATCACATTGAAATTGTGCAACATTGACTACACATGAGTCATAATATTATATAAAATGACTCTGACTCATACGGATATCATTTAAGATAAATACGGGTAAAGAGAAAAACATCGATGTAATTTTAGTTTAGTAATATCTAGATGTGATAAGAATATTGGTAATCATATTAATTGTAAGTTTTTATGGAGAAATGTTTAGCATTTAATACATGAAAAAGTAAAACTGTGACAAAAATTATACAAAAAATGAGTTTTTATTAAGACGACAATTTGTTCGATAAAGAAGCCAAGGAATAAAATTGACGAAAGAGATACTTGTTATTTGAGTAGTTCGAATACGTAAAAAGAATTTTGAAGACAAGTCGTTCGAATAGTAATTCTAATAATATTCATAACAACCTTAGATAAATCAAATCAATGATGAAATTTATTAAGAGAATATCAGATTTTTACAGCTCTGAATAATGTTGGCCACAGTCTTTAAACATGTTTAGTTCTAAATCAGACGAACTAAACAGATTTCAACACGATATATTCTAATTAAAGTTCCAGATATTTGTGAAATCGATTTATTATAAGAAAATATTACATTAGGTTCGATGCATTATTCGTCTAAAGGTTTTTAACTTGATTAATGAAATAAAAGAAGAATATAACCTTTTTCTTATTAATGAAAGTAAGATCAATGTAATCAAATTCGTAGTGCTGTTGATTTTTGTTGAATTTATTGACTAATTTTTGTCAAATTAAGATTTTACATCATCAGAATCGTACAAAAAGTGACAATTCAACACTTAGAAGAAATATGAATTCACCTAGGGTCTTAGGAGTTCGTAACGAAAAAGAAAAATAGACAGAGGCCCAAAAGAGCGTGTACTACAAAAAGAGCGTTGCTGTTATACTATGCCATACCGACTATGAAGATAGTTCACACGACTTACCATTACCACGAACACTTTAACTGTTGGTTTGGGTGTAATTATGATACACCACATACACACCCTCATTTGATAATATTTATTATTCGAGTTTTTTCTTTTTCAGTTTACTAATAGTATTAATCATTTTGCTTAAAAAACATTTGTCTACATAAATTATCATTGAAATTAACATACGAATATATTCAGTTTTCTGTTTTATTCTTCAGTACCCATCCTTCCCATATCTTAGTATAATGATATAAAGTTTCATGTGTTTTATCCAAAGCTACTTCAATTTGACAATAAATACATGATACTGATGCATCTAGTATAAGTCCCAAATGTGTAGAGAATTGAATAGTTCGAAAATATTGCGTCATATTATTTAATATTAAAGCTGGCAGAATTTCAAATTCACATCCTTTACAGTTTAAGCTAAGCATATCGATTATTCCATTTTTTGTTTTAGTTCGTCTTATATCTTGAATAATTTTAACAATATCAAGTAATTCAACTTGTACAGTTTGTGATGAATTTTTAGAAGAAAGCTTTTGAAAAAAGTTTGTACCAACATTATTATAATCATTTGAGTCAATTAAAAACTTTCTTGCATAACTACCAAGTCCATATGGATGAATTTTCACTTTTGAATTCGTTTTAAATTGTTCAGTTAAACTTTTTGCCCTTAATACTAGTGGTTCATAACTAATTATCCATGGATCATAATGTTCAATAAATTTAACTGTATCATGTCCACGATTTCCACCAATTTCCACAATAAGTGAAGATGAATTTAATAGACCTTTATGTGCTATATGATGTAATCCTTCGACAGGCCAAAAGTCATCTTCAATACTCCAACTTAAACATTTATGATATTTAGAAACATTTAGATTCGAAATGTTTTCCGCTGTTTCACATGTGAAATTCCCATAGATGATAGGCGATGTGGAAATGAATATATTCGAAATTCCCTGAGGATAGATTAGATCGAAATTCAAATATAATAATATGAAAATGCATGTTATACCTAATGGTATAAACATAGCCTGTTTACGTGAGATCATAGTAAATAATAATAAGTTTTTTTCTAGTTAATATATCATATTAATTTTGATAAATACTTTTGTATTTCTAAAACTAAAGTAAGAATATATCACTAGATCAAATAATTTATTTTTATATTGCAAAATATTTCTATTAGAATGTTACTTCTTTACTCACCTATCTTTCCATTTCTTATATCTGAACTTTTATTCTATGTGAATACAGAATAAAAGTTTAAATAATAAAATAATCTTTCGATTATGTCAATAATAAGAAAAATTTTATGTGGAGGAAAAAAGAGCATTTTTCTTTCGTAAACCAAAAATACCATTAATAGAAATGCATTTGTCACGTTTACTCACAGTTTTTGTACTTTTTTTTGGCCATGTGTATAATCTTCTTGAATTTTTCAAGCAAGAAAGTCGTGTACTATGATTAAATCAAATGATTTTTTCCTATCAAATACATGAAACTAATATTTAAAGAACATACATTTCTTTTTTTTGACTCTCACATTCATTAAGAGTTCTTGTTTCGCCATAATTTTGAGGATGTGCTCGTAACACTAAGAAATTTTTTGTTGTATATTAGTAGAGATAATAATAATAAGATCCTATGAACAGTTATTCAGTATATTTATTCATATAATAATAAGAGTTTGATTTCTATCTGATTCACAGGTACATACATAACACATATGAGAACGAACAAAAAAAAAATAAATTTGTATTTAGTTGAAAGTACAAGTAACACATTCCAAAGATAACAAAAATAATCTATCTGACATTATTCTGAGAAGATTTAAGAGACGAGGAAAAAAATATATATATATAAGTATCTATTTGAATATCTGATTAAATGCGAATAACAATTTCACCAGCTAACATTATTTGATTTTCATCTTGCATTTTAGCTAAAGCCATTCGAATTTCATCTTCAGTAAAAGTTGCATCATGTTGTTTCATATAATCAAATATTTCTTGAGTAGTTGCTGATGGTTGTCGATCAATAACTGTTGATAGATGTGTTTTAAAAACATCTAATCGTTCAGCACTAATATTTATTTGTGATATTACGGGTGTATCATCATCTTGACCAGCTGCTTTTCGGCCTTGACGTCGAGCACGTTTTGTAGCACTACCAACTTCAGTTGGAACTATATCTGTTGATGATGATTGACGTCTAAAAACAATAACAAAAATGTACTATTGTAATAACAAATTAAATAAATCAAAATACCGTCGTTTAGGTGTCGATGGTGGAGGAACTGTTTCAGTATCCATATCAGCTTCATCATTTTCTTTATCATTTTCGATTTCTTCATCATCATCATTATCATCATTTGCTTGTTTTTTTTGTAAATCTTTTTTACGTTTATTTTTATCTAATACCTAAATAACAAAGAAAAGAATTTTTTCCTCTCTTGTCTAATAAATCAAAAAAAACAATATAGAAAATTTTACAAACCTTTTTAAAGATAGCAAATTGTACAAGATCAATAGCAACTTCACTATCTTCAGGATCAACAGTTTTTGACATACGACATTTAGCATGAGCTGTTGCTAAACGAATCATACTTTCTAGTGCACGAGCAGTAATTGGTTGAGTCTTAAAATAAGAATATTTTTCATGTATAAACTACAGAAAAAAACTAAATTTATCTCTTACTCGTGCTTGATTATCTGATTGTGATAAATCTTGATTTCTTAAACGTGTATATTCTTCAACGATAATATCAGCTGCTTCTTTTGTTAATTGTGGCTTAAGTGCTTTAGCAAAATGAATATATTTTTTCATAAATCGTAAATTAATAAATTTTGTTCTAAAAAATATTTTAATTAGAAGAATGAAAAAGAGAAGAAATGAATTATGATTATCTTTACTTTTTCGAATAATAAGGACCATGAAGAACAGCATCATATTTATCATAAATTTGAATATCATCTTCAATATCTTTTTCAGCATCATTAGCATTTTCAGTTGTTAATGCATCAACTTCCGATGC